ACGTTTAGTCATTTCTCCTATTACAATTTGCAATGAGTTTACTTTCCTGCTAACATTTTTTGCCACCTCAGCTACATGCTGTTAGTTTTCAGAATGGCTGAACAGCTCACTTTCTACAAGCATAATACAACTACTACTACACATGTGTTTGGACCATGGAGCAGTGAAATAACAAAACGAAGAACACTCCGCACTTCTTCTGTGCTAGGTATACGAAAGTGCAAATCCACAATCCACAAAACAACAAGCCAAAGGATGTTGGCATCCCTCAATTCACCAAGGAAGAAACTTGAGTTTGCACACTGCAGGGAAACAACGCTGATACAAGCAGCTGCCTTGGTATACTCGCCTCCCCTCAACAATTCCTTTTTAGACACCATCCTTTAGGAAAAATCACAGTGAGTCATTCAAGATCACCCGAGGGGTGCAGGGGGGGGCAGGGGGTGTGGAGAGCAGGGAAAGATTGTAAAAGCCCCGAGGAGTCCCAGCTCTGGCTCTTGTCTCCTTCCTGCAGCTTGCACTCCAGGGCAGTGGGGTTCGCAGTTCCAAAAGCCCACCCTGCGCCTCCCCGGGGTACAAGCACAACCAGAGACTCAAAGATGGTCACCTTGTGCTCCGCATAGCTGTACGGCCGGCTCGGATTCAGAGACAGCGGATGCGGGAGTCCGCACAGCCCGGGAGTTGTGGCCACGGTAGCCCTTAATCTGTAGGTCTATGCAAAGAAAACTACAGAATGTTGCTTCAAGAAATAAAAGAGGACACGAGGAAATGGAAACACATCCCCTGCTCATGGATTGGGAGAATTATGTATTGGGAGAATTAACATTGTCAAAATGGCAATACTCCCCAAAGCATTATACAGATTCAATGCGATTCCCATAAGGGCCCCATGATATTCTTCAAAGAAATTGATCAAACACTCCTGAAATTCATATGGAACAACAAGCGCCCATGAATAGCTAAAGCAATTCTTGGGGGGAAAAAAAGATGGGAGACATCACCTTCCCCAATCTCAAACTATATTACTGTAGCACTGCAGCACTGTCCTCCCGTTATTCATCAATTTGCTCAAGCAGGCACCAGTAACATCTCCATTGTGAGACTTGTTTTTACTGTGTTTGGCATATTGAATATGTCATGGGGAGCTTGCCAGGCTCTGCCCTGCGGGCAGGATACTCTCAGTAGTTCATCGGGCTCTCCAAGAGGGGCAGAGGAATCAAACCCGGGTCGGCCGTGTGCAAGGCAAATGCCCTACCCACTGTGTTATCGCTCTAGCCCAAACTATACTAGGAAGTGGTAATAATTAAAACATCATGATATTGGAGCTAAGACAGATCCACAGGCCAATGGAATAGGGTTGAATATCCTTACATACAACCTCAAATATATGATCATCTAATCCTTGATAGGGAAGCAAGAAATATAAAATGGAGCAAGGAAAGCCTCTTTTACAAATGGTGCTGGCAAAACTGGACAGCTACATGCAAAAAAATGGGTTCAGAGCTTTACCTAACACCATGCATAAAAGTCAGATCAAAATGGACTAAAGATCTCGATATCAGACCAGAATCCATAAGATACACTGAAGAAAAGGTTGGCAAAACCCTCCATGACATTGAAGTTAAAGATATCTTCAAAGAAAAAATGCCACTGACCAAACAAATGGAAACAGTGATAAACAAATGGGACTATCTTAAACCAAGAAGCCTCTGCACCTCAAAAGAAACAATGACCAGAATACAAAGACAGTTTACAGAATGAGAATACAAAGACAGTCTGCGGAATGAGAAAGGATATTCACCCAATACCTTTCTGATAAGGTGTTAGTACCAAGGATACACAAGGCACTGGTTGAACTCTACAAGAAGAGAACACCCAATCCCATCAGAAAATGGAGAGATGAAATGGATGGAAATTTTCTCAAAGAAGAAATCCAAATGGCCAAAAGGCACATGAAAAAATGCTCTCCACCACTAATCATTAGGGAAATGCAGATCAAAACAACAATGAGATACCACCTCACACCACAGAGATTGGCACACATCCAGAAGAACAAAAGCAACAGGTGTTGTTGTGGATGTGGGGAGAAGGGGACTCTCCTTCACTGCTGGTGGGAATGCCAACTGGTTCAGCCCTTTTGGAAAACAATATGATGTTTTTTTAAAAAACTTGCTTGAGCTTGAGCAGGCCCAGTAACGTCTCCATTGGAGACTTTGCTGTTACTGTGTCTGGCATATCGAATACTCTCGGTAGCTTGCCGGGCTCTCCGAGAGGGGCGGAGGAATCGAACTCGGGTCGGCCATGTTGGCTGCGTGCAAGGCAGACGCCCTACGCGCTGTGCTATCGCTTGGCTGGAGCGGTAGCACAGCGGGTAGGGCGTCTGCCTTGCACGCAGCCAACATGGCCGACCCGAGTTCGATTCCTCCGCCCCTCTCGGAGAGCCCGGCAAGCTACCGAGAGTATTCGATATGCCAGACACAGTAACAGCAAAGTCTCCAATGGAGACGTTACTGGGCCCGCTCGAGCAAATCAACGATCAACGGGAGGGCCTTTACCTTTACCTTTACCTTTAAAAAACTAGAAATTGAGTTCCCATTTGACCCAGCAATACCACTTCTGGGAATATATCCCAGAGAGGAAAAAAAAATACAGTAGAAATGACATTTGTATGTTTATTACAGCACTATTTACACTAGCCAGAATCTGGAAAAAAAAAATGAGTGCCCAAGAACAGATGACTGGTTAAAGAAACTTTGGTACATCTATACAATGAAACACTATGCAGCTGTTAGAAAAGATGAAATTATGAAATTTGCATATAAGTGGATCAACATGGAGAGTATCACACTAAGTGTAATGAGTCAGAGAGAGAGGGACAGACAAAGAATGACTGCACTCATTTGTAAAATATAAAGTAACAGAATGGGAGACTAACACCCAAGGATAGTAGAGATAAACCAGGAGGATTGCTCCACGACTTGGAAGATGGCCTCACATGTTGGGGAAAAAGGCAGCTGGGATAGAGAAGGGAATGATGCTTGGAGGGCTTGCTTGGGATGGGAGATGAGTGCTGAAATTAGACTATAGACCAAACATGATGGTCGATTACTGCCTATATTGCAAACCATAACACCCAAAAGGAGAGAAAGAGTAAAAGGGAATGTGCCTGCCACAGAGGTGGGAGGGGGAGGGGGAGAATAAAGTGGGAGTGGTGGGAGGGATACTGTGAACATTGGTGGTAGTAAATGGGCACTGGTGGAGGGATGAGTATTCTATTATTGTATGACTGAAACATAATCACGGAAGTTTGCAAGTCTGCAACTGTATCACATGGTGATTCATTAAGAAATATTTTTAATTAATTAATTAATTAATTCAAAAAAAACTATTCTAAGAGTGGTGATCCCAAATGTTCTTAAGTCCTCATTTTTTGCTAGTGATATATTTCATTTTTGCAACTGACCCAGACTTTTAAAATGGCAGATTGGCAAAATAATTTTGTACAGTTTCCTTTGGGCAGTGAGGGGGTGGTACGGAGGTAAAGCCCTCACTCAACAGGAACTCACATGCTACTCCTAACTAAGTGCTCTGAGATTGCTCCTAACAGTACTAGCAGACCATGTGGTGTCCAGGAGTGAACCCAGGCCCCCTGCATGCAAAACCTATTACGATATATCTCCAATTCCCTAAATAAAAATTTTGTTTGGTTTTGGTTTGGGGGTCACACCCAGTAGTACTCAGGGCTTACTCCTGGCTCTTTGCTCAGGGATCACTTTTCAGCAAAGCCCAGGGCACCATACAGAGGATGTTGTGGATCAAACCCTGGCCACCTGCATCCAAGACAAGCACCCTAGCTGTTGATAACAAGTGTTATCACTCTGGCCCCCCAAAATCATTATTTTAAATAGGGGCAAAAAATCAAAAATTTTAATAGGGCTCACTGCAACAGTGTTGGGAGTTTGGGGGCTACTCCCAGACAAAGGGGCCAGGTCTGATGGATTGGTGATCAGCACAAGAATTGCAGTGCTCAGAACTCTGGTGGCTGTAAAGGTGTCCATGCCATACAACTGGAACTGGGAGAGCAGTGGTTGCTATTGAAAAACAATAAACTACTCTGGGAAAAGTGTATAATACTACCAACTTTGTATGGATGCTTATTTGGCTAAGTCTCTGAAACAAATGACTCCCTATAAATACCCTTCTAAAGAATTAGAAAATAGGGGGGCGGGACAAATATCACAGTGGGTAAGGCATTTGCCTTGCACACGGCCAACCCGAGTTTGATTCCCAGAATCCCCTATGGTCCCCTGAGCACCACTAGGAATAATTCCTGAGTGCAGAGCCAGGAGTAACCCCTGTGCATCACCGGGTATGACCCAAAAAGAAAAAAAAAATAATTAGAAAATAAAGTGTTCACTTTTTTTAAATTCTTCTTTTTTCCCAAATTGAAAATGGCCTTATTAGGAATTTCAGGCATACGATTTAAAGATTTGCATATAATGTAAAATGATCATTATAATAATGCTGGTTAACATTTTTTCCTTGTGATAAGAACTTTTAAGATTTATTCTTAGAAACCTTCAATATGTAACACAGTATAGTTAATTATAGTCACTATCCTGTACATTCTATCCTTGGAGGTTATTTATTTTATAGCTAGGCAGTTGAATATTTCACACCCTCTCTTCCCTGCCTTTGGCATTTACCAATCTGCTCTCTGTATCCATGAGTTCAGTTTTTTCCTTGTTTACCTGTTTTTTTTAATTTCCTAAAACAGATTTCTGATACAAGTTCTTTAGCCATAAAATTCTAGTTCACGAGAGTATGAAATCTTAATCTTACAGAATTGTAATTACAGAAGTAAATAAACCTTTCAAAGAATTTTGTATTTTATCATATAAAAGAGGACACAGATAATCATTAAAAATTACAATCAGAATAGCAACATAAAAATTAATGACTATAAGTTAAGAGAAAAATGATATATTTTTTATTCCTACCTGGTTCTGTCATCTGAGATTTCTGTATTAGAACTTCTCTTATTTTCTCTACCCACAGGTAAAGAATACTTTCACCAATATTCTGTCTAAAGAAAATTCAGGGAGAAGTTCTTGTTATTTAAAAATATTTCCTTCTCATATTCAAGAATATACAGGTATATCTGCAATCAAATAAATTATATGCTATGTAGTCATATCCTTTAATAAATAAAGCATAAAAACATGATTTACTAGATAGCACAGCGGGTAGGGCGTTCGCCTTACAAGCGGCCAACATGGCCGACCCGAGTTTGATTCCTCCGCCCCTCTCGGAGAGCCCGGCAAGCTACCGAGAGTATTCGATATGCCAGACACAGTAACAACAAAGTCTCCAATGGAGACGTTACTGGGCCCGCTCGAGCAAATCGACGATCAACGGGAGGGCCTTTACCTTACCTTTTACTAGCATTAGGAAGTCTTTCACATAGATCATTTACACAAACATTGAAAGTTCAATTGTTCAAGCCTGGGGGATGACTCAGTGGCACCCAGTGCTTGTCTTGCAAGCACAGGGCTGTAAATCTAATCCCTGCCACTTCCTGCCTGGGTCCCGCAGCTTCCTGTTTGGGACAGCTGGGCCACAACCATCGGCAATCCCACAGAATTATCCCTGCAAGCACCCAACTACAGAGTGCGGGTACCACAGCAGTGTGCGGCCCCAGGCAAGCCCACGTGTGATCACTACAGCAGCCCCCACCAGCACTACAACCAGAATCTGCGTTGTTTTATCTTATATGCTTCATTTTCAAAGATCAATATTTTTCACTGCTGCCCTCTGCTGGAATTATATGGAAACATGATTAAAAATTGTCACAGTGTGTAATTGTTAAAAAATTTTATTTTACTTTATGTATCTTGGTTACAATAGTGTTAACATTATGATTGTTACATTAGTTATATAGCATACTACCCCCATGCAGAATGTGTATTTCTAATTAGACCGTAAGAGTGAGAATAATAAGACTGGGGTTATTCAAGCATTATTACTATACAAGAGAGCTTCACCTATATTCTATGTTTAGAAATGCTTTGTAATTTCTGCTCCTCCATAATTCTCAAATAGGTCAACTGAACACGTAAAGGAGAGCAGCAACTTGTCAGGAGGGAAAGTCAGTGGGTAAGAAAAGGAAAGACTTCATAGATACAGAGAAGGCAGTTTAGAAGCCTTTGGGGGGGGGCAACACATTGTGCAGAAGCAGCAGAAAAATCTACTAGGGGCTGGAGTGATAGCACAGCAGCTAGGGCGTTTGCCTTGCATGCAGTTGACCCAGGTTCGATTCCCAGCATCCCATATGGTCCCCGGAGCACCACCAGGAGTAATCCCTGAGTGCAAAGCCAGGAAAACCCCTGTGCATAGTCAGGTATAAACCCCCCCCTCAAAAAAATATACTAATGAATCTGATTAACAAGATGGAAGCCAAGTATGGGGAATTTGTTTAGAACTAATTAATTAATTGGATTAAAAGGTTCAATCACTGGCACTGCGTCATCCCAAGTATTATTACATGAAGCCACCCCAGAGTCCTACCACATGTGACCCATAACCCTCCCCCAAAAAAACATGACATATAGGACTCTGTATAATTTCCCTGCCTCCTTATTAGATGCTTTTTCCCTATCACTCTCCCTTTCCCCCTTCTCTCCCCTCTTCATACCACCATCACTTTATATTCTAAAGTGTGCCCAGTTCCTTGAGACATGAACTGGCGCCTTCAACTGACATTCACGTCACCTAAGTAAATCAGCCTGCAACAAAAAAAATCACCCCTGACGTCCTAGACAAGAATTGTCTTGTTTAAATCCAATTATATCTTATTTTCATAGAAACCGTAGCTACAGTTTTACATTCAATCTATGATACTATGAATAATATCTCTTACCAGTAAGTCGTAAATATCATGTAATTTTTGCTAACAAGATTATAGAATATAATTCCAGTCATACAGAACTTAATGAATGAATATAAAATATAGTATATTAACTCTCACCTATGACCTAAACCAAGTTAGTAACCAACAAAAGACTAAAGTAGTTTTATAAATAATATTTGGCACTCAGTTTTATTCAATGCAGACAATGAAAATATCAAAGCAAAATCAAAGTTCTGAATTTACTTTCCAAAGCTGGGTATTTTTGTTGCTAACAGTTAAATTACCATACTTGTATATCTGAGTAGAAGTCATATCAAATGTATGCATAAAATTATATAACCAACCTTTTGAGAACTCTTCAAATGCATCTTTCATATTAATAGAAAATCAGAAAAAAATTCTTGACATCACATATTTAACGAAAGTTCACAAAAGAATCATAAAAATTGTGTTAATCACTTACATGTATATTTCCTCAAGGCTATTTGATAAATCCGTACGTTCTTGCCCTTTGAGCCATGGAGCACTAAAATTAAACAACACACAATAAAGATTGAGAACTGTGTTTCTAACTCAAATGGAAATCACTGATTAAATCACAGATTTATTGAACTTATAAAAATTATATCTTCTCATTAAAACATTATCTAATATTTGTTAAATCTATAATTTCAGAATTATTTCACTCACAATAACTCATTTAGTCCTCCCAAGAAATCATAATGAGGCCAATACCTATATTATTAATATTATTAATTAAAGTGAAATAGTTTAAAAACTTAAGGTGAGAGGAGAGGGTATCATAAACCTGCCCAATTTTACATAATGACAGAAGTTCTAAAACTTAACTTTCCAGATTTATAGTATTTACCACCCTAACAGGAGTTTCCGACTTTTTCTAACTGGTGTTTCAAAAACAACTCTAACTGGGGTCTGAGCGATATAACACAGCGGGTAGGGCATTTGTCATGCACGCTGCCAACCCGGATTCGATTCCAGCATCCCATATGGTCCCCCAAGCACCGCCAGGAGTAATTCCTCAGTGCGTGAGCCAGGAGGAGTAGCCACTGTGTATTGTCGGGTGTGACCCAAAAAGAAAAAAGAAAAAAGAAAAAAAAAACCTCTAACAAGCAAATTAAGCGATTATTTTTTTAAATTTCTGGGGCCAGAGAACAGTACAGTGGCCTTTCCAAAACTGTTTCTGTAATCCTCTGAGCCTTTCAGGAGCAATCCCTGAGCACAGAGCCAGGAATAAGCCCTGAGCACCAGTGGATGTGGCCCAAAAAAACAGAAAAATAAATTAAATTTAAAACATATATATAAATTCAACTTCTTCTTTAAGAGGACATTCACATGAACCAGAGAAATACTTGAGCAGGTTAAAGTGCTTGCCTTTCAAGAGGCTGACCCAGGTTTAATCTCTGGCACCCTATGTGGTCTCCTCAGCTCACCAGGAGTGATCTCTGAGCACAAAGCCAGGAGTAATCCTTAGCACTGCTGGGTGTGGCCCAAAAAATCAGAAAATATTAAAAACTTTAAAAGGACTTTTCTAGGTATCCTAGAGCTGTCATTTACCAAATAAATAAATTGCAAACTCATTTTTAATAGCAAATTTTACCATGATTTTAAAACACTCGTGAAAAATAACAATAGTTGGCAAAAAATTTTTAGGAATTGAGATTATTATCCGATTCTGTTCCCTTGGATCTTAGTAGGTTAAGTGGGAATGATTGATCAAAGGCCACCTGCAATCAGCTGGTCATCATAACTCATTTAGATCAAGTTTGGCAGTTGAGAAGCTGGTTCTTCAACAGCAAGAGGCAGAGAAGCAGCAGAGGCATCCTGGGTAATTCTGGACAGAAGGCCCAAGAACCATGGCTACGTCAGCAGCACCAAGTTAGGAGACAAATGTGGCCAGTGCTTCTAAATTACTAAAAGCCAAAAGAGGAAGGAATCCTTTCACAGCACTATAGACAATTCTTATTAGTTATTTCACCACAGAATTGAATGAAACCCAGGATTCTCTTTTATACTAACCGGCATACTTCAATATGCTCTTATATCATTTCATTTTTAATTTAAATGTTCTATTCCAAATCCAAAATGTGTTTTTAATCACTGAATACATCTTGCCAAGAAAAGCACTTTGTATAAATACAATGCACAGCGTAGAAACAATGTTTGAAAAGTATAATCTCTTTTTTTAAGACAGAAATACCCAAACAGAGCTTACTTTAGTTGATAAACAGGTGGAGCAGTACCAGGATACTCATTAGGTAACATCACCTGCAAAGCAGTTCAAAAAATAAGTTTTATGCTTGATGCTTGGGCTAAAATGTTTTTGTATTTGAATTTATAAAGTAAGTCATTAGACAAACTTACAACTTGTGAAATAAAAGCAAATCATTGTTTTGTTTAATCTTCACAAAGAATTCCCTCCTCATACTGATGCTTCTTAGATTTATTGCTAGTGATGATGCTGATATTTTCAAAAGGAGTTATTAATTTGCAAGGAAAGCATGAAATGAGTGTAAGTTAAAAACCAGGAGTTGGAAAAATAATTTAAAAAAGGAAAAGAAACTGAAGAGGGGTAGAACAGCATTATAACATGTTTCAGGTGTTTATCCAAGGGGGAGGGGGAAATTACATAACATGAAATACATTAAATTTCTAACACGGACAACTGCACACATTTCTTTTCAAATCCAGCATCACAAAAATCTAAGAAAAATATACATTTATCATCTTTCATCTGGAAAGCATAGACATTGATCAAATAAACATTACAAGCTATAGATGATCTTTTATTTCTCCTGCAGCAGTTTATTCTTTATTGATTCTCAAAAACTAAATATTTTCTGTAGGAACAATTTATTAACTTGTTCTTCTTAGATGTTTGCCATTTCCCCAGATTTTCCCAGATTCAAACTATCTTCTATTAAATGGGCAGGTTAATGAGTGAAACTCTAATCAGTTCATTTAGAAATAATGAAACAAAAAGAACTGAATAAGAAAGATTGAGACTATTAATTAAAGAATAATTCAAGAGTGATCTGATATTTAATTTCCCATGTTTAGAGAATTACCAACAAAAGACAATTTAGAACATATCACAAAAGAATCACCAGAAGAGAATGCAAACAGTAGTCAATTGTACAGAAACAATGTTGCAAATGGAAAAAAAACTAGAAACACAAAGGGGAGAGCGAGGGAAATACCTGCAAGCAAAGTGTCCATTTGGGGTCATCTATATCGTCGCTAATTCTAATACAAAATATTTTGGCACAGTCATCAATGACACACCATTCCTCGCCATATATTGCTGCCATCGCTTCGATTTCCTCATTCTGAAAGATGAGGGTGGGGAGGGGGAATGGAAATCAATGAATACACATCCCCCCAAACCCTGTGTTCCTTATTCCTCGGTACTTCCAGTGGCCAGAATCCCCGCAAACGTTACAGGTTCTAAATTCTGGGTGACGAATGCAGTCAGCCTGGCCACCACAATAACTGTGCTTCTGGCGTTACTGAAGCCAGAATTCCTTCCTCTTAAAGAGTTACTCAAGCCTAACCATCTGTGATCTTTTTTATCCAGGAATCTGCCCCCATGCTCACTCCTCGGCCTCATCTCATATAGGCTATTTTCACATTTAGCTGGGTTTTGTTTTTGATTGGGAAGCGGTGCGAAGTGGCTGTTTTGTTTGGGGGGGGGGGGGGGGGAGGCAGTGATCAAACCTTCAAATTATTTCAGAAATGATTCATTTGGCTTGGGGTGGGGAAAAAAAATAACTGACGTCAAGATGAAAACGGCAAGAAAAAGGATGCATTGGACTTTGGTTGTCATCTGGTTTTGTCCTCGAGGCTCAGCAGAAAAGAAGCCCACTCGAGTGTCAAAAGGGGGAAGGACGGGTGGGCGGGGTGGGGGGTGGGGGGGTGGGAGGGCTAAGGGGTGGACAGTCCCGGGTCTGCAGGGTCTGGGTCATCGCGGCGCATCTGCAAAGGCAGGAGCCAGGGTTCTGCTGGGCCATCGCGGCCCATCTACGAGGGCAGAAACCCGGGTTCTGCTGGGTCATAGTGGCCCATCTGCGAAGGCTGGAACCCGAATTCTGCAGGGCCATCGCGACCCATCTGCCAAGGTAGAGAAGCCCGGGTGCTGCTGGGCCATCGCAGCCCATCTGCCAAGCAAGAGCCGGAGTTCTGCAGGGCCATCAGGGCCCATATGCAAAGGCAGGAGCCCGGATTCTGCAGCGCCATCGCTGACCATCTGTCAAGGCAGGAGCCCGGGTTCTGCTGGGCCAACGCGGCCCATCTGCCAAGGCAGGAGGCCTGGGCCACGGTGACCAGCGGGCAGAACCCCGCTCCGGGCCGCGCTCGTGCTCAGTCGCGTGCTGCAGGTGCACGATGCCCGCGCGGGCCTGGCCGAGCCCGCGATGCCCGGGCCGAGAGCGCACGCCGGGGCGATGCAGGCTGGACGCGGGGCGCCCCGGGCGGCGGGCCCCTCGGCGGAGGAGGCCCGGGGCGGCGAGGCCGAGCTGGGCGTGTAGGTCGGCGCCTCGCCGGGGCCTCACCTGCCTCTGGTCGCTCCCTGAGTCCCCCTCCGCCATGTGGCCCCGGGAGCGGCCCCCCGGGCCGCCGCCTGCCCAGGTCCGGAGCGCGGGGGCGGGGCGCGGCGCCGGCGAGCTGAGCGCAGGGCTGCAGCCGCCCGACCCGGAACCGAAACCCGGGCCCCGCCGCGCCGCCCGCCTCTGCTTCCGGGTGGCGGCCCAGGTGGCCAGAGGGGCTCCCGGTCCCCCCGCGCCCCGCGCCCGGCCCGCTTCCGCCCTGCGGCCCGGCGCCCCCGGAAGCCGTGCAGCCCGCGGGGCGGCTCTGCCTTCTGCACGCTCGGCCGAGCCCAGCTCGAGTCCGCCCTCCCCTCCCGGGCCTCGAGCCCTCCAAGGACTCCCAGGAGATGTGGGGGAGCCCGGACCAGAGGGGCTGGCTTCTTCATTGGGAGTGTTTTCAGAGGACTGATTTGGCACGGATGGGTTTTTGGTTTTAGTATTTTGTGTGTGTGTGTATTATAGATTAGATGGCCGCAGCAGTGCTACAAGTATTGCTATGCAAGCGTTTTGCACTTCACCACCCCTGGCATGCCCAGGACCCTCCACCGCTGCTTGTATCAGTACTGTCTTTGTTCAGTGCTGTCATTGTTCAATACTGTCATTGTTCAGTACTCTGTTCTCTTTTGACTCTAGAGTTCACGGATGAGTGAGATCATCCCATGTTTGTCCTCCCTCTGACTTAGCGTCACATGATACCCTCTAATTGCAGGAGCACTGCATGGTTTTATCTTTTTACAGTTGTATAGTATTCTGTTGTGTCTGTTTGTCACCACTTTCTTACCCAGTCATCTGTAACTGAAACTTCGGGTTGTTTCCATTTCCTGGCTGTTGTACTAAGTGCTGTAATGGACATGAGTGTGCGGTAATCTTTCAGATTGTTTTTGTGTTGAGGAAAGTGGGGGTGGGGGGGTGGGGCGGGGGGAAAGATGCCAAGAATTGAAACCCCTAGGTTATATGGACGTTCTCTTGTTAAATTTTTGAGAAATCTTCATACTGCTTTTCACAGAGGTAGAGTTTGATGAACCCAATCCAGGAGAAGCAAGCTATTATTTTGAAAACATGGGAAAGCACTCACTGCTCACCATTACAGCATGTCTGGTTTTTTGGTGGTTTTGAGGTTTGGGGTTAGTGGGAAATAAATTGTGTGTTGTTTTGTTTTGACTGAGCCAGTACTCGAACCCAGACTTCACACAAGCAAAGCAAGTGTTGTATCTTGCCTGAGTGGAACCACATCCCCAACCCTGGAGCAAACTTGTGTGTTCAGGCAGTTATGCCGGTCAATAAAAAAAGTATTGCTTCAATAGCCAAAAAGTTTGTGCCAATCCTCCTATTCCACCTCCAACACAAACTCTGCTTTTGAATTACACTGATCAGCTTATTCAAGACAGGACAACCAAACCTCAGATCCTGTTATTCAGGAGGCATTTTATCCATTGTGCCCTGCATTCATCAGGCCAAATACAAAAACACAAACTATCTTTCTTCTTTACCTCTTTCCTTAATGATAGACTTTTATTGCTGTTGTTCAATTCCTCTTTAAATTTATTCTCTGAGTGAAAGGCATAGTACCTTTGTACCCATAAAACATTCTGCCCCATTGCTTTCAGAAGTTCCTAGAAATAAAGCCCAGTGGATTTAGAAATTGAACAGAAATTTATTAGGCTCCAACAATGCTAAGTTTTGGAAATACAAATCGGATACCATGTATTGTCTCTAAGGAACTAAGGCATGGGAGAGAGAGGGAAAAAGCAACAAAATGGATGAGAAACATATCCTGTTGTTTTGTCCAAATTTTATTGGGCTTGTTCCATAGAAAAACTTAAACTGAGTTGTAAAAGGACAGGTACAGGAATAGTAACTAAAGAAGAGAATATTGTAAAATGGGAAATATTGAGACCAGAGAGATAGAGCGGGCAGGGCTCTTGGCCAAGGTTATATCTCTGACATCCCCTATGGTCCCCTAAGCACCACAAGGAGTAAGTCCTGAGCACAGAACTGGGAGTAACTTTGAACATGGGTGGGTCTGACCCAAAAAACAAAAAGAGAGAAAGAAAAATATTGGGGGTAGGAGGGAAGTGTGACCCTTTAAGGAATTTCTCGCAGGTCATTATCTCTGACATCATGACTGTTAACCCCCTCAGCATCCTGCATACCCCCTATCTGATCATCTCCACGGTTCTACTATGGGTTTTCATTTTCATTGTATGTCTTTCAGAGTGTACAGTCAATCACATTCTCACTCCAATTATTTAGTTTGGGTAGTATATCTTGTTTTTCTTCATCTTCCAAGTACTAACCAGGCCCGACCCTGCTTAGCTTCCGAGATCAGACGAGATCGGGTGCGTTCAGGGTGGTATGACCGTAGGGCGTTTGCCTTGCACGCAGCCAACATGGCCGATCCAAGTTCGATTCCTCCGCCCCTCTCGGAGAGCCCAGCAGGCTACCGAGAGTATCTCGCCCACACGGCAGAGCCTGGCAAGCTCCCCGTGATGTATTCAATATGCTAGACACAGTAACAACAAAGTCTCCAATGGAGACGTTACTGGGCCTGCTCAAGCAAATCGATGATCAACGGGAGGGCCTTTACTTACTTTACTTACTTATTTCATCTTAACTGAAAATAGTTTCAAGTTCCTCCTTCCAATGAACTTTAGCCCCAAAGCCCGTGGTGGTACCACAATGCATCGTGGTTTCATCCCAAGGTGAGGAAATCTTCAGGGGCTTGGCCAATGTGGCTTTCAAGTGTCCTGAAATCCGAAATTTTTATCCCACTAATACCTAGATGTCCAGCTATTATTAAAGACCTCTCATTTTTTCTTCCTTAACTGTTTTCTTTCCTAACCTGTGTCTTTTTTTTTCAAAATTTTATTTAAGCACCATGAATTGCAAAGTTATTCATAGTTGAGTTTTTGACATACAATATTCCATCACCAATCCCACCACCAGTGTCAACTTCCTGCCACAGTGCTCTCAGATTCCCCTTTACATCTACCCACCTCCACCCCAACCCCAGCCTGCCATCATGACAGGAACCTTTTAAATTTTTTTATTAAAACTTGATAATCATGTCTTCTGGCAAGCTCCCCATGACATATTCGATATGCCAAACACAGTAACAACAAAGTCTCCAATGGAGACGTTACTGGGCCCGCTCGAGCAAATCGACGATCAATGGGAGGGCCTTTACCTTTTAATCATGTCTTCAATATTATTGACTCTGATTTGAGTCTTTAGCTCAAAGGCAGTTCCTTGATATCATCATTGCATCTTCATGTATCTATTGAAATTTGATGTGCTTACTATTTGTTCTTAATGTCTCTGTCAACTTAAACAATAACCCACATATTGGGAACCAGTGTTTGGGGAGGGGGGGTCAATGTTGAATAACTGACCCAGTCTGTGAGTTCCCTCAGGGCTGCCTGGGAGACCCAAAAGTGTAGACATCCTTGTGTGTTTGTTTTTGTCTCCTTGTTTGTTCGTTTGTCCCATTCTCTAAGACGGATTCCCAGTGGACAGAAGACTTTAGTGTGGTTAATGCCACATGCCCCACCTCCCACCAGCACTAAATGTTGCTACTCTGGTTCCAGCCCCACACACTAAATCACCAGACCCCTATCCTGAGGCCTAATATTGCTGGGAGTGAATCCAGGTCCCGGCACACGTCTAGCCACTATAAAAGAACAGGTATATATTTTAATGGAGGGGGGAACAGAAAATAAAAGAACTGTTACAAATTCTGTTAATTATCTGTTAAGACCTTAGAAAGGAATGAGCTATTACCTGCAAAGTCCTTCCTGAGTAGGAATGGGAGAGGGATAAACCTTCCTTAGCGTGGTGTCCTCTTATGCTATCCTCTGTGCTCTCTGTTCTGTTCTTCTAAATTTTTTTTTCTGGTTTGGGTTTTTTGTTTGTTTGGTTGATTTTGGTTTTGGGGTCACATTTGGCCATGCTCAGGGGTTACTTTTGGCTCTGCACTCAGGAATTACTCCTTGGAGGACTCGGGGGAACTATATAGGATGCTGGGGATCAGTTAACCATGTGCAAGGCAAGTGCCCTACCTGCTCAGGCCCCCATGACATATCTTTCTAATGGCATTTTTTGTGTATGTGCCAAGGCACACTCTTTACCTCTAAGCATCATCTCCAGTCCTTCTAAAATTTTTTTAATTAGGACAAAGGAGATAGTACAGGTGTTAGAATACATAATATGTGAAGTCTGGGTCTGGGACCCCAGTTCAATACACAGGACCACTTGGTTGCTCATGCTACACCCCCAACATTACCTATTATAGCCCCGAAGGCCCCCAGCACTACCAGTGTGGCCCAGGTGAACTGGAGAGGAGGAGCAGCACTGTGTCCTTGAGCCCTAGTGTTCAACCTCAGAGCCTCATTGGTCAAGGAGTTCCAGGAAGTGCTCTCAGGACTTTTGACCTCTGCATGGAAACTCTTAGCTTCTGAAAAAATAGAGAGATAAAAAGGTATTATTAGCTCTCCTCTTAACCCAAAATCATTGTTCAAAGGAACTGTCATATGTGAAATGAAAATGTCTTAAGGATGTTGCTCAGAATAGAGCATAGAAGTCACCTCTAAGAAGCCCTAAGTATAAAATAAATTAATATTGGCTGATATATAGGTAAATAGGCTGGAGCGATAGCACAGCAGGTAGGGTATTTGCCTTGCACATGACTGAACCGGGTTCGATTCCTTTGTCCCTCTTGGAAGAGCCCAACAAGCTACGGAGATTACCCTGCCTGCACAGCAGAGCCTGGCAAGCTCCCCGTGGCTGGCGTATTCGATATGCCAAAAACAGTAACAACAAGTCTCACAATGAAGACAGTACTGGTGCCCCCTCGAGCAATTCGATGAACAATGGGAGGACAGTGCTATTGGTGCTACAGGTTGGAGTACTTGTCTTGTAGACAGGAACCCTAGGTTTGATCCCTAGCACTGCATGCCCCCTCCGTCACTCCCCCCTCCCCCCCTCACTGCCTCACCATGTGGCTACAAAACAAAATGAAAATTGGCACAAAAAAAAAACTGGATAAAAAATTTCAGATCATTTGCTTTTTCTGCTGAGAGGAATAGTCTTCCCTCGGATGTATAAATGAATTTATCTTCAGCTTTCAGATTTCAGTATAGTGATATGT